CCGCGATTGATTATTCATCTCCTGAGGTAGCCAGGCTTTATTTTCATTTTTTTCTTCAGATTGAATATTTTTGTTTATTTTTCTCTGCACGTCAATCAGTTTTTGTCGTTCTTGAACTAATATTTTTAATTCTAAATTTTTATTGATTTTTGATTTTTAGAAAGTTTAAATTTTTCCAATTGTGACAGTTCAATAGCCCAACTGCTTAAACTAGGTTTCTCATTTTTGAATCTTGTTCGTCCATTTTTCTCTTTTTCAATGAAATGATACTTCCAAGGTTACAGCTCAAACATGGAGGCTCTTTCGATGAAAACACTCAACTGTTTAGTGGGAGGACAACGGTTTTGATAGCTATTGATTTATTTTTCAAATCCCTATCTGAAATCGCCAGTTTTGAGATTAGGGGCAGAACACACCGTAGTGTAGGCAGAATTCACACCTTAATGTTGATTAAGCTCACCCCACGGCCGGCATTGGCCTCATCAAATTTTCCATTCTTCAACCCTCGTTGGCATTCCTTAAAAAGGTCGCATTTGTGAGTTTTTTTTAGAAGGTATGGGTCGTATTTAGTGAAGTAAACATTGCAAAACGAAGCAACCTCTCTCGACGGCCTTGTATACAAGGTGGAAGGTTGTCTGATAGGTTGGAAGGCATGTTACCGAGGACTTTCATAGAATGATGTGAAGTCGGGGGAGGATTGTATCGATACCGAGGTGTGCTCTGCGCAGTGGATGACTTGCTTCGAAATCGGTCGACTGTGACTAGAAACAGTGGTAAAATGGCCAACTTGAACTTCACCTCCCCTCTATGTTACATTGCGCGCGATCTTACCCATTCAAATCACTCTTCTATTTCGCTTGTGAAATAGTAGTGGGCGAATCGAAAGTCATCATTTCGAAAGGGGGATTTTGTCCGATTTCAGACGATTGCCTATGTTAAATTTCAACATTAAATTAATCAGTTCAAGGAGTCAAAACTGTGAATTTTGCCCTTATAAGGAGAAAAGTTACCAGTCAATTGACAGAAATCAATCCTAGATATTTTTACTAGAAAGTTAGCTACAGAGTCCGGTGAGACCTGGATGCCCAGCCGAGGCTGCGCGGACCGGTCTTGAGCTATACAGCTTGAATTCCAGTAGAAAAAATTATGATGTATAATGTTTGTATGATATCCTAGATATTGGTTTTGGTATTATTGACAGGTTATATGCGTATAAATTTCGTGGTAGGGTTAAATTCAGAACCAAAAGTAGATCGGAGAAGATTTCATAGCCATGCCACAAAACAACCCTAGCTTTATGTGTCGAGCAGAACCTGCATGCGTTTTTCTCAAATTAACTTGAAAATTGTCCTGTCCGCTCCGTTATTGGCTTACAGTTAGTAGACGAACAGTGTTGTTATTATAACGTCATTTTGGCCGGTTTATTACGACTGCCGTATGCAGTGTCACAAACAAATAAATAAAAGAACCTTGGTACTGCGGTGTTTCGTCAGTAGTGTGACGGCCGGCCGTGAAAAGCCGAAAAGGGCAACGTGCGCGATTAGGCTGAAAATCACAAACAACTACACGAGCGAGCACCTGATCGATGCAGCGATGCCACAAAAGAGGTCATTGGTGTCTCCGTTATTTCGCTTTTCGGTTGCTTTCATCAGTCCAAGGTTGTTTTCGGTGATATTGTGGTAACCTTGATAAACTGCTTGACGTTAACTTCGTTCAGGGTGCGCCACGCCTTCGACTTTCAGACAGTATCGTAGTTGCAATGAGATCGCCTTGTCAGAGTGGAGGGAAATACCGATTTTTTTCGCCTTTCTTAACAGTTTATTGTACAGGTCCTTGCGCTTTCAAATGATTCCACGATTTCGTAACGATGCTAAATGCGTAGGCGTATGTGAATGTGGTCGATAAACCTGGCATTTTCGCGACATACAATGGGCCGTTGAAGCTAGAGATCGCACAATTCAGTGGATTTTTCTGAACTGGGTTTGCTCTATATACCCTAATCGTACAATATTGCCTTTGTCATTGCGCTATCCCTCTCTGTGAGTTGCTATGGTCAACACCTGGACAACTAACGTTGGCGTGGTTGCTGTGGTAAACCAAGTATACACTCATGTCCAGCTCCAGCTGTTTAGCATGTCCCTTAACCCATTCGTGACAATGGCAGCCACCGGTGGCTGCCAAAGATTTCACTCGGGACAATGGTATCCACCGGTAGTTGCCGTGTTTCATAATGGAATTTCGAAAGTTTTTCTTCCTGAAAAGAATCTTTATACCCTCATTCGTCCACGCCAGCCCTGAGCAGGGAAATTTCTATCTACCTCAAATTTTTATGAAGAAAAATCTCAGGGGGGGGGGGTGGGGGGGTGGGGGGGGGGGGGGGGGGAACTCCTCGTGCTATTCACGCACTCCCGCGCGTCGCGCCTGGTAAATATAATAGATAACAAGTTGGCACAGTAGTATTGGTGAATACCAGTAGATGTTGCGCTGTCAGTTAGCTTAGATAGAAAGGGTTCCGATGGTGTCACGGATAAGCACGGTGTTTAGAAAACAGAAACGTTGTTTGGAATCCCACGTAGGCCGAACATTTCAGCCGTGACTCAGCACGCTTCCCATCGAACTTTGTACTATTTGCTATTGTTGTGTTTTGGCCGAACTGGCTGGCGAACACGCTAATCCACAAGGCTCCACCCATTGTGACAGGGTGGGATTCGGTGGGCGTGCATACCAGTGGCGTTAGTGTGCGTTTCTGGTTCCTTTAAACTCGCATATGTGTGTCCAAATAAAGCATGAAAAGATTGCGTGTATTTTCGCGCAAGTGGGCAGTCCCCTCTGGCCTTGGGTGGGAAATTAGCTACTCAATTTGTGATAGCATATTCCATAAGTACCGAGCAGTTCTCGCGAAATTCGTATTTTTTTTGTTCATATTTCAATGTTTGTTCATCAATCGATTTTCACTGAAGAGTTCCAGTTCATCATATGTCCTGACAAATGATGCACGCAATCTGCTCAATTCGCTGTTTCGTCATTTAGCATTGTTTGATGTCTGCCTTGTATGTTTTTGTTCAGCCGCGACCTTGCTATTCAACGATTTTTCTTCTTCCGCTTTCACCAGCAGAATGGAGAACAGGATTAGCTTGAGCAGGACTGAGTCAACTTAAATTACTGCGAACTGCTTCAGGTTACAGTATGAGGAAAAAGTAAAGCGATCTCCAATGAACTGCGAACAGTGATGCCCTTTATGGTTAGAAAAAGTAAACAAGTATTCACTATTAAAAATGTCGCTTTCCAATTTTTTCCCAAGAACAATTTATTACAGTTTGCCCCAGAGAGGGAGAGCTCCGAAGGAGTACCTGCGTCTTTAGCCTTGCTTTCGTTTAAATACAATTTCTTATATTATTACTTTTATTTTATTACTATTTTCTAAAATATCACAGATTATTTCTCCCGAGTTCGAATTAACAAAAAAACCTTTTTTGACTCTTCTACCGTAGAACCCAGTTCATCGAGGTCGTTCTATCTGAACATCCATTGCATAATGTTAAGATCACCTAAACATACCTTTTTTCTGCGGCCAAGAATGCCGTAATTGCAGACTTTGTGCCTGCATGGCATGGCATCAGCATCAAAATCATCTTGAAGCGCATGTTATATCCGTTTATCGATTTTAAGGGGCCATCCATGTGCTACTGGCTTTTCATTGCATCAAAGGTCATACTTCTAGAATGCTTTCTGCAACGTACTCCACCCACCAACATGTCCGCAAGATTTTGCGCACGTGACCATCGAATAACAACTTTTTCCAAATCCATTGTCGTGCCAAGCTCCGATTGAAGTTTCTTTAGGGATTTGAGGTTGATTGAAGCGTTTTAAAAGACTAATGAGCGTAATAATTGAAAAGAATTACCTGATGGATATATTAGAGATCTCAATTGGCCATTAGAGAAATGGTTTTCGCCTCATTGAAATACGAGGGTGCAATGCAATTGTGCGATTCGCTTCTACTGTGTGACCTTGCACCAATCGCACTTTCTATGCTTTCGAAACGATCACAGTCCTTGAAAGGAGCGAGAAGTGGAAAATACATATAGGCAAAAGGAAGGATGTGCTGACCAGTCAAAGCCGTTTTCTTTTCGAATTGATGGCTTTTATTCCATAGCTTAAGATCCTCTTCTAGTTCAATTTGATCGATGGATTTATTTGTAGATTTCCAACTGTCAAAATATTGATGTTGGTTCTAACTAATTTTTCCGTTTCCATAAAATAAAATTTGAACTCCAGACTCTCCTTTGAAGGCAAGGATCGGGGTTAGCTCTACTGAGGAAGTCCCTCACGTGGATAGGTGCGCCAGGTCCGCCAGTGCAGATAATCGGCACTCACACTAGGTACTGTACGCTAGACGTTGCGCTTAGGACTGCATCGTCCAACCCCAGAAAAAGGTTCATGTCCGCCCACCGAGCTGACACTTTGTCTGCCAGAGTCAACCCTGCGTTGCGCAGTTCGCAACGGCACGTCGAGAGATCCTCAACGCACGCTGTATGGGCGGAGACACAGACGGCTCGAGCATGCGAGTGTGAATGTTCGCGCGAGAGAACGTGTCTAATCGGGCGAAACTGCGCAACGTGGCCGTTGAGAACTGCGCAACGCAGGGTTGACTCTGCTTGTCTGTGTCGCAATGTTGATTTGCTATGCTGTCTCGACTCAGCTTCCTTTTCCCTCTCCGCAATTCAAACGATCTCTCATTCCGCTGTTTGTCTCTTAGACATCTCTGCAGCATAGACGCAAGTGGTAGCATATTGTCATTTATTTTTATTCGGTGTCATTTAGTCGTGATCCTTACCTTCAACCCATTACATTGACCACCGGCCTACGTAATATAGGTGCCCATTAGAATCGGCGTGGGCACCTGCCTTGAACAATTTTCAATCCATTATTCTCGTCAATTATTGCTTGAAATCGGTGCGCTGTTTTCTTCGATTTCCTTATACCATTTCTTATTTCAGATGTGGGACCGTACTTCTATACTGTTATTAATAGTACTGCTAGCGAATCCAGTACTTCCGAGACGTGCGTCCAGCGGCGGTGGTTTTTCATCGAGAGGCGGCGGTGCCGCTCGAGGTTCCGTAGGTACTGCTTGAACGTCGTTTTCGATTTGTTTCTCAAATTTCTTGGTTACTCAGCACGCTAGCTCGTTTTGTAGTGGTAGTTACGAGGTTATATTATGCAAATGGGTGTAGGTCAGGAGATCCAGATTGCAGCGGTGTGACGATAGCGACGTTGCAGGTGGAGTCGCGCGCGCGAAATTTGAGCTGGGACGTACCACAATCAGTAAAGGTCTCTTCCATCCATCCACTTGAGTGCGGTGTGAAAATTGTTACATGATAAATACCGATTACTGTAATGTTTCCATTTTTTCCGCTTCTTTCATTTTTATTTTCTTTCCAACGAAAATCACAATGCATTCCATATTATTAGATGTTACAGTAAAAGAAAAGGAAAAAATTGCTCTGAGATTTTAGGGACTCTGTATAATTGCCACACTCCCTAGATGACTTTGACGCCCACCTGCCTACGACAGTACGAAACGTCGTCAGCTGAGAATCGCACGCTAGCGCGCAGTCGATCTCCTTGACCAGAGTCAACCCTGCGTTGCGCAGTTCGCAACGGCACGTTGAGAGATCCTCAACGCACGCTGTATGGGCGGAGACGCAGACGGCTCGAGCATGCGAGTGTGAATGTTCGCGCGAGAGAACGTGTCTAATCGGGCGAAACTGCGCAACGTGGCCGTTGAGAACTGCGCAACGCAGGGTTGACTCTGCTTCTGACCCATCCTAACCTTAGATCGCGTAATGCCTTCGGACAGCAAGCCGATTCACACCATTCCTTTTTTGAACACATGACAAGCTCTCACGTATATTAGCACTATGGATTTGGTGCGTCGGGAACCGGGCTTATCTATATGCGCTCAGGGTAGTGATAACCCTCAACTAGACATCGATAACCCAAGTTTGCTAGCTTGATAGGGTGGGGTACTATGGGTAGATGAGCCAATTTTTCCTTTTCCGCAAAGTCCGCCATGTCCCTTGCGCAGGCTAAGGTCCTTACCCATTTGGGACTTCGCAGTACTGAGAGCTACCGAAAAGCGGGCGGTATGGCGGATAGACCCGAGTCATATTTCTCAAAAATTCCGGGTTATGGGCAGGGGTTCGGCTCTATGGGGAGATGGTGAAGGGCTCAAACTTGGCACCATGTATTCTGACTATGCATTAGTCCAGTGCGCTATCGATACTTCACGCAGCTTCGCTTTACCTTTTCTGTGCTGTACTTACTAGGATTGTCAATAGTCTCATCTGTTATGTGATGTGTCAGCTGTCGACCGCTGTTCGCCGAGTGTGACCGAAGCTTAAGCTTGATTTTAATTTTTTTTGCTGGGTTCCGATTTATGGCTTTTGTTCGTAGAGGTCACGTGAGAGAATGTCAACCGTCGTTGTGCCTGTTCAGAATTTTCCCTTCCTTGTTAAGGGCTTGAGGGGCTTGACACGACCTCCTTCACCGCATCCTCCGCCTGACTCTCCCGGCGACCTCACCACCATAGCTTGTATTTCCACTCTATTCGATTCTGAGACAGGTGACACACTCCAACTCTCCCAAAATTTCTTTCAAAACTGTCATCTAACGGAGGATGGGATCATAAATATAACTGGATGACAGAGTTTGAGCTGTAGTTCTGTGTATTTCATGCAGTTCCATTGAAAAAGTAAAAAAACCGCCGAAAGGCCTCCTCCTTCACTGCAGCCCATCAACTTTCTCCATCACGTCTCTCTCCAAAATCCCAAATACTCCCCCCTTTTCACCAAACTCGCAAGAATCAAAGAATCTACGCCACCGTCGGGCTTACCACAACAGACGGTTGACCATGAAGTAAGGGTTTGGGACGTTTCTCACGAAAATGACCATAACTAGAGTGGCTTATTGCTATAGCAAATGCCGGTGGTCAGGGTAGTTACGGTTATGTGCCGTTATGCTACGGCCCTTTTCGTGAGAAATGTACCCACCCGCCACGTAACCCTTGTTTGCTTGGTGGTTTACGCTTTTTCAGCTTTCACATTCGCTTTTTTTTGTTTTTGCCAACTAACCACGGCTTGCTTTTCACAGGACGTGCTAACAGTGGAAGTGTCGCCCGAGGTGGTGGAATAGCTTCCACCTCTGGAAGAAGCGGTGGTTCGTTTCTTCTTACTTGGTTTTTTATATTTGTTGCTCTGCTCAAGCTATTGCGCCAAGTTTCCGACCTCACCTTTCCGAAGTTTTTTTTTATTTATTTTGGTTTCTTTTAATTTGTTTCCGGTTTTGGGTCTTATACGATAAAGGGAAGGGCACTGAAGCTCAGAGTGCTCAATACGTTTAGAACCACGAAATCATTCTTTGTTGTAAAGGTTTGGGACTCATCCTTGGAAGATTCAGCGGAGAACTCCAGCTTCTCATGGTATTTTACAACACCTTTGTGAATTACACAAAAGAAGTTCGATCCCAGTTGAGGCCTAGACCTTCACTATTTCATTACATTCGCATCGTGAAGTGCTATAAAAAATGCATCTATCAGAGAAAAATGTATAAAGGCCTTTTGCTGTCAGTGTTTTTATGGAGATCATTCAGGTCAGCCTGGAGGCGGTGCTGGCGGTTTCCATCCACAGCCGAATCAAGGCGGATTCCACCCGAATCAAGGTGGATTCCATCCGCAACCAAATCAAGGTGGTTTCCATCCACAAGGTGGATTCCACCCTAACCAAGGCGGGTTCCATCCCAACCAAGGAGGGTAAGTATCTACAACTACTTTTGTGTCGTCTTTGGTCCATCAGAACAGTTCTTCAGATTCCGCCCTGGAAGTGGTGTCGGTTCACCGGCTAGCAGTGGAGTGTTCAAGAAAGCTCTCATCGGAGGAGCTCTTGGAGCGGTTGGAGGTAAGTCGAAGGTTTTCTATTTCTTTGGATAGTTTTATAAAAGGATAATGTTTTTCAGGACTGGTGGCCTTCGAAGCCGGCAAGGCGATCATTCAATCGGCGACAACGCCGTTCAATCATGGCGGTCACAACTACTACTGGGATAATCAC